AGTGTCACGTACGATATCATAGCTACACGTACGTGCGCCCCCTCTTTTTGGGGCCTACTACAGATGATTGTAGTGGGAGGGAGCAAAGCGATAAGCAGATAGGATGCTGTAAGGAGCGCTCTCTGGCTGGAACCGTTAAGGACGAAGGTCGTACACACGCGACGCGCTCTTCTCTCGTTTTTGCATTAATAAAGACGTTGATACTAGTTCCTCGACTATTTACTTCGTGTGCACCCCAAGACCATAGAATCCTACGCAACAATATACTCATGACGTATAAAAAAATATGCGATGATGGCTCCCCATTTGTTGTAATTTTTTTTATGAAACGGCCAGCTGCATCCATAGATACAGAGATATTTTTCAAGTTTCTTACTGTATTCCACAAATCTATTAGTTCGAGTGTCCAAAACGTTACAGAAAAAGGGAAATTTCCTATCTGTTTGATATTTTTATTCCATTTATCGTTCATTTTCATAGCTATAATAGCTTCTACTACATTTTTTGATTGAGAAACTCCGTACTTTTTGAAGATTGCTTCTTGACGAGATTTCCGCAATACTGGAGTATGCACGAGAGGGCCTTCAACATCGCCATAATTTATACACTTTTGAGCTTCTAATCTCTTAACTTTTAGGGCTTTCATGTGCACAAGATCTTTTTGAGTTTCTTTTCAAAGAGCTCCAGAAAAATGTCTTTTTTTAAAATGACGGATATTTTTGGAGTTATACGTAGTTATATTGAATACATACTTTTCAGTCATCAAAATAGATATTTCTTTTACTGTATTGCCACATTCATTACACACCCCATTAAATTTGATTAGATCGTTTTGTTGTAGAACGTACCCCTTTTTGAAAGAAAACGCACAGGGTAAGAGTTGATTGAACCAAATTTTTTCAGCTACACTGTGTGTCCACCCTTCAGGCAATATTTTTTTATTATTTGCATTTAACACTGGTCTCACTTTTTCTAATTCCACATCATCAAAAATTATGTTGAAATTTAAAACAGAACTATTTAAGACAGACTTTTTACTTTTCAATTTGGCACTTGCACATTCTGTTTGATTTTTTAATAACGTATCTAATTTTATTTTTAGACCATTCCAATTTTTAAAAACATAAAAGTAAATAGCTTTACCACTCAACGCATTATTAAGCTTTAAACTGGCTTTTTGCCAAACAGCATTTGACTTAGCTAGTAATTTTCCCGTCTCATCATAAATCACCATATTCTGCAGAATTTCAAACAGCTGATCAACCTGTACAGCTGGATTTCGAGGCATTGTAGCTATGTTTACTTCTGAAATCAATTAGAAATATTCAGATGTGTCAATCTTATCTGCAACAACAGCTTCTGGCGCGTCGAAATACAGAGTGAAATTTACGAATGTCCTGTGAATACTGTTAGCTGGTTCGATGATTGTTCAAAGAGCTATATTTACCTCTGACTTTGCCCTCTTACAATTAGTGTCCTCATATTCATTACTTAACTCATAATTCTTTTTTTTAGTATGCTGCTTGTGTCCTGAAAAAATAAAATTATTGTAATAATGCAAAAAGCAAGTCCTGAATCCTAAATATATCATGATGATTTGTAACCGTGAAAACCCATAACCAACAAAAAAAAAATTTCTCACCATATCACAATTCTTATGTCATCAGGCGTTGCACTGATATTTTATTCTCAGAAAGCATATTTCTTTACTTCAAACAAAAAATAGAAAAAGTGTAGCGATCCAAGAATAAAAGTTGCCGCGCAGGTCAATCATCAGCTGATCGCTGACTGCTTCTTCGTCCCTGTCATGATGCATGTAGATATAGATATATGAGAGTACATCCGAGCTCGTCTGGACGAGATTCGTTGAAAAACGTGAAAAACACCCGTTACTACTTTATTTTGATTGCTTACCTCTGATATCGAATATTGTTTGGAATCCGCATTTGAGGAGAAAACGATTGATTACTGTACTGTATTGATTACTTTTGATTTTAAATGATTTCTATCAATGTGAAGGATTTATTTCTGCGCCTGAATTGCAGGAACGGAATAGGACCAAAAAGTCACTAGGGAAAGTTACTAGAAATTTTTCCCACTCACGGCCATAATATTAAATTTATTATTTGCTAATTTTATTGCATTCACATCGATCAACCACTTTATATATGCAATCCGCAAAAGAGGAGGAATCGAATTCTGTAGGCAAAATTTTCTTTTAACAAAATCTAGCACCTGAAAAAAAGGTTTTTTTATTCCAGCGCCGCGCCAATTTTCACAGTTTTCTTTTGCAAATATCTCGAGAACTAGTCATTCGCAAATAAAAATACAAGTGGAGAGAATTTTGGCAAATAAGGAGAAATCGTTCAAGCCTTGAACAATTACGCAATGTCAATGTTTAATATTTGCAGGTGCTAACTTCACAAGTCTTACTGATCCCCACCTTTGGCAATGTGCAAGAGAGACAGATTCTCACGTTGAATGTTGTGTCTCTGTCTACTGACACTTCAGCGCCGTACATACCATACACAAGAACGAGCAGTCTACATTTCTTATATGTCCATGCGTAAGATGGCGAGTACGGCACGATATTTTTACGTGTAGGCACTTCTACCTTCCATGTATGCCATACAGTCTCAGTGTTGGCAAAGAGCATAGACATATACAAAAAATAGACTGCTCGTTTTTTTGTACGGCGCTAAAGCACAAGTAGAAAGAGACACGAAATCGAACGTGTACAGCTGCCTCTCTCTCCCACCTTTGCTAGTATTGGGGTGCTTGCATCGGCTGGCCTTAATTTACTGATCCCCAACTTCGGCAATGTGCCAGAGAGACAGATACCCACATTCGATGTTGCTTCTTTTTCTACTCGTACTTCAGCGCCATACATAAAAACGAGCAGTCTAAATTTCTTTTATGTCTATGGCAAAGAGGATCTTCGCATACCTCCACCGCTATTGGAACTTTTGGGAAAGTGGAAAAGCTCATCAGAGTAGAGCTACAGCAGGAGTGTAGACTTATTTCTCTTGTTAATACGCGAGCGCCTATCCCCACACAACCCAGAACACTTACTGGTCACTTTATTTATTTATGATTAACAAAATAATAACGCAATCGCCGATCCCCACATAACTCGGGAGGCTTACTGGTCGCTTAGATTATTGATAACTAATAAAATAGTAACCAAAGCACCTATTCCCACATTGAAATAACGCAAGCACAAATCTGCGCATGTTCTGGGGTGCTTGGATTATCCTATTCATTATAAAGAATTAAAGCGACCAGTAAGCGCACCGGGTAGTGGGGGGATTAGTGCTTGCATTATTATTTTATTAATCATAAATAAATAAAGTGACCGGTAAGTGTCCTGGGTTGTGTGGGGATAGGCGCTTGCGTTATCATTCACAAGAGAAATAAGTCTTCCCCTACACTCCTGCTGTAGCTCTACTCTGATTGGCTTCGGAACTTTACCAACGGAAAGTTCCGATAGCGGTAGGGGTATGCGAAGATCCTCTTTGCCAACACCTGGCCAACACTGCAAAGTCTGTAGAGTTGCACTCACACCAGAGATTAGTAGGGAGATTGCTGACTGCCATGCTACGGAGTGTGCCCACTTTTTTCCAGTGGTTCGAGCGCCCCGCCGCGGCCAAGCGGCCGAACCAGGCGCACATTTTTTT